GTTTTTTAACTGTCTTTGGACAAGACCATTTTGTGGAGGTATGCTAAGCTAATATGAACTAATTTACTAATTTTATGATTTACAGTATGGCTGTATTTTGCTAAATGTTATCCTAAATGTGCTCCATGTAAGCTGTAACATGCTGCACACCATGCTGAGATCATCTAAACAACGGAGACAAACATTTGATGACAAGACAATCCTTTTATTTCCTGCCTTTTATTGTATTATGCTGCAGGACAAAAGAACATGAACATTTGACAGCATGTACAATACACTGATACAGATGTGCATTATGTTTAGTCAAAACAGCACTGTGATGTCTTCAGTGACTCCACAGAGACACTAGCATCCATTCATCCATCCATCCATCCACTATCTTTACCTGCTTCTCCCTTTTGTCGGGTTGTGGGGGTCACTGCTGCCCATATCAGAAGTCATTGTGTAAGAGGTGGGGACACCATGGACAGGTCTCCAGTCCATCACAGGGACACATAGAGACAAACAAGACAAACAACCATTCACTCTCTCACTCACACCTAGAGACAATTTAAAGTTATCAATCAGCCTAACATGCATGTTTTTGGTCTGTGGGAGGAAACTGGAGTACCTGGAGAAAACCCACCCAGCACGGACATGAACGCAAACATGCAAACTCCACCCAGAAAGACACCGAGCTGGGATTCCATCCGGCGACCTTCTCACTGAGAGGCGGCAGCTCTAACAACGGTGCCAATGTGCCGCCCGACACTACCACCATTCTTAGTTAAATGAACAAAATCTCTGGAACTAAATAGAACAACGCAGTCTCAAGGTGTGTTAGACGATTCAGATGTTGGTCTGCTGTGAGGCTGCAGAAGAACAAATTCAGTGAGTGTGAAATCAGAAGCTTTACAAAAGCTTAATGTGCTCAATAAAAAGAAGAGATAAAATCATAGAGCAAAAGAACTACTAAAAAAAAGATACCAGTAACTAGTTCCTGTGCCCCGGAGGAGCAAGCAGCTTTACCACTGGTCCCATCTGTGGTTATAAAAAGGTCTGGGGAGCAACAGTTAAAGTGATGGTTGGTGTACTTGTAACTGTCATGGCAGATAAGATCAAACGATATGTTTTTACCACATCCTGATTCCCATCTTGGCAAACTGTCCTTTCAATGATGCAGCTGTGTGGCTAAAACGTGTCCTCTCACATTGGTTTGTGTTTTCGGCTACATTATAATTGCAAGTTTTAATGCCCTGTTTTTCATTGTTGTTGTTTTGTTTGTTTTTGATGGTTATTCATATTATAATTTAAATGCAACCTCCAACAAACTCTGGTAAAAAAAAATAAAACCTTTCATAACCAAAGTGACTAGCATGCATAGAAGAAGACACAAACTTCATATGCAGCACATGTGTTTACAAAAAGTACATATAGGCACAGGAGGGGTTAGAAAGTGTGCTCCCAGAATAATCAATATGGCCCTCCTGTGAGACTGAAGGCTACGGCAAGAGAAATGGTCATAAAGATTGACTATGACTGCAGCAGTGGTTCTCAAAAGGACACTAGAATTTCCATGACTGGAAGTATCTGGGCACAAGATCATGGTATAATCCTTGAAACTGAGAATAAGAAAAAAGTTATAACTTTGTAAAAAAATGGTGGATGGAAAAAAAAAGTTATAATTACTTGCAAATAAAAACTTTTAATTTTGCTTTCTGAATTATAGTTTCTTCATGGAATGACTGGGCTCTGTACATGCACTAACCTTGAGGGCTTCTTGGACGCTGATCAGCTTGTGGGTCTGAATTAGAATCAAGAGCTTCCATGCAGATGTGCATTTAGCTTTGACCACAAATTGTGTAGCTGTACTCTGTTGACCTTGTGATGTGCTACAGCACGTCATGAACTAATGTAAAAGGCCATTCTCGTTATTTTTTTCAGCCTTCCTTTATTTTAGAAAATCCATCATAGATGTCACATGTTGGTATGTGTGTGTGTGTGTGTTTTTTTTATTTTAAGTTGTTGCCCAGTCAGAGCTGACTACACATTTTTAGCTGACAGGCTTGTTTTGTTCAGTGTTTATGTTTGATCTTGCCTCATCAATATTTGAATCAATCTGCATATCTCTACTACAAGACATAAAAGTAGGAGGAAATGCAACATGGCTGTTCAGACTGAGGTTGCTTTGAAAAATCCTGGATATGTATCCAGTTTAGTATCACATATAACTCACATATATAACTATCACATACATATAACTATCATACCGGTATATTCTTTGTTAGTGCCCCTAAGTTATGGAACGCTCTGTCTTTGCATGTTCGACAGGCCCCTTCACTGTCCATGTTTAAAACCCATCTGAAAACTCATTTCTACTCATTGGCCTTCAACCCAACTGAGACTTGATTTTACTTTATTTTTATTGGTATTGACTTAATCTGTTTATCTCGTTGTTTTATTGTGTTTTAAATTGAGTTTTTAGTTCATTGTGTCCTTGGCTTTTATGCTTTGTTTTTATCTTGTTTTTAACTGATGTTCAGCACTTTGTTTCAGCTGTGTCTGCTGTTAAAGTGCTTTATAAATAAAGTTGATGATGATGATACAAGTGTCATGGGTGAAATTTGAAACAAACTAAAAAAAAAGTGTCACGTTCAGGCTGTCACAAAACAAAAATCAAATATTGGTGGTTTATGAGGAAAAATATGTATTTGCAACACTTTGGCCATTTGTAGCCTACTGCACCTGTGACTTTTTTTTTGGGGGGGGGGGGGGGACATAACACCCAGAGAACGCCAAGAAAGTAACCCATCGTGGATTAAATTTGGGCAACTTTCTTGCTTTGATTGTTATTATTATTATTATTATTATTATTATATAATAGTACTAATGATAGTATAAAGTCAAATAGGTTCCTATGAGTAAGCCCGGCCCCCCGGCCGCGCAGACGCTTTGTCCGCCCCTGCTCCCGCTGTCAGAGCTCCTCCAGCAGCTCTTCGCCTCAGATGGCCTGCTGCTGCAGCTCCTGCTACAACTCGTGGAGGCGAGAATGACCCCGGGGTTCCCTCCCATCGAGACACCCTGACCATAAGAACGGATTTGAGTCGCTTTTGTTTTAGTTTTTTTTTTTTTTTTTTTTTTTTTAAGAACCACTGCAATAATGGCGCTCCGTTGTGCGCCTGTGTGCACGCGGCTGGTCGCGGCTGTTTTCACGTTCGCTGCACTGTGGGGATGTGCGCTCTCCATCAACCGCTACTCGGTACCGGAGGAAATGGAAGCGGGCTCCTTTGTTGCCAATCTAGCCACAGATCTGGGTCTGGACGTTCGCAGTCTGGAGGAGCGCAACGCCAAGCTCGATGCCATCCACAGCAAAAATTACCTTGACATCAACAAAGACACGGGAGAGCTGGTCATCCGCGAAAAGATAGACCGGGAGAGCATATGCATGACTAAAACAACCTCGTGCTTTCTGAAAATGGACGTGATACTTGCAAACCCCGTGCGCATCTTTAACATCGAGCTGGAAATCATGGACATCAATGACAACGCTCCAGTGTTTCGCAGGAAGACAATGCACTTGGACGTTTTGGAGGCAACCCCTCCCGGTGAGAGATTCTCCTTAACTAACGCCGTGGATGCAGATGTGGGGGCGAATTCCATCAAGACCTACTACCTGAGTGAAAGCAAATACTTCAACATTGATATACAAACAGGCAGCGATGGCTCCAAATATGTTGATTTAGTGCTAAGTGGTCAACTAGACAGAGAGAAGCAAGCAGTCCACAATTTGATTTTAACAGCTGTGGATGGGGGTGTTCCTCCCCGCTCTGGCACAGCTAGCATCATAATTAACGTCTTGGACATTAATGATAACGCCCCCTCTTTCAGCCAGCCAGTGTTTACAGTCAGTGTTTCAGAGAACTCCGCAGTAGGCACGGTGGTTATGACCTTAAACGCAACAGATTTAGATGAAGACACTAACGCCCAGCTGATATATTCGTACACGCTTTACACCTCAGAGAAAACGCAGGAGCTCTTCTCTCTTGACCCAAACTCGGGTGAGATCAAAGTGAAGGGTGTGATCGATTATGAGGAGAGTCAAAGTTTTGAGATGCACATCCAGGCTCAGGACAGAGGGACGAACCCCCTGTCAGGACACTGCAAAGTGATGGTTTTTGTCACAGACCTGAACGACAACTACCCCGAGGTGACCATTAAGTCCCTGAAAAGAGCAGTGGCTGAGGATGTCTCTGTGGGGACGCTGATTGCCGTGGTCAGCGTCAGCGACCGGGACTCTGGAGGCAACGGGGAAGTGGACCTCACACTGAACCAGCAAGAACCCTTACCGTTCCTCCTGAATAAATCCTCAGAGGGCTACTTTGAGCTGCTGGTGTCAAAGGCGCTGGACAGGGAGATAAAAAGCAAGTATGACATCACACTATTAGTGGCAGACAGAGGGTCGCCCCCCTTATTTGAAAACGAGACCATCATCTTGGAGATTCTGGATGTAAATGATAATGCACCCACGTTCTCCCAGTCCTTCTACACAATCCATGTTGTGGAGAACAATCCACCTGGGGCGCTGCTGACATCTCTAAGTGCATTTGACCCAGATCTCAATGAGAACCAGTATTTGGTTTATTTCATAATGGAGAAAGAGATTGTTAACACGTCCATGTCAATGCTCTTTTCCATTAATCCCGAGAACGGGGATCTTTATGCCCTCAAGACGTTTGACTACGAGAGAGAGAGGGATTTCCTGTTCCACATTGAGGCGAGAGACTCTGGAGTTCCCCCACTGTGCAGCAATGTGACGGTTCATATCATCATTCTGGACCAAAATGACAACACGCCTCTCATTGTGTCACCTTGGCGGGCGCATGGTTCTGTCATTGAAGAGGTGATACCGCGGTCCACGGAAAAAGGACACTTGGTGGCCAAAGTAGTCGCCATTGATGCAGACTCTGAGCAGAACTCCAGGGTCACATACCAGCTCCTGCAGATCAGCGACTCAACACTCTTCAGTCTGGATCAGTACAATGGCGAGATTCGAACTACAAGGATGTTTAGTCACAGAGACCCGAGACAGCAGAGACTGGTAGTTATTGCCAAAGACAATGGTGACCCTGCTCTCTCTGCCACAGTCACCATCAAGATTTCAACAGTGGAACACGCCATGACCTTCTTAGAGACTACCGAGTTGCCACTAGAGTTTGAAGTCTTCACAAACCTAAACCTATACCTGGTGATCGGTTTAGGAGCTGTGTCCTTTTTGCTGCTGATAACCATCTTGGTTATAATTGTGCTCAAGTGTCAAAAACCAAAGCCCAAGGCCATCAAGATCCCTCCAGCCAATAGAAACAGTATGATCAGCCAGAGGAGCTCCACCATCGCAGATTCCACCCTGATATCCAGTGATGCTTACTGGTACAGCCTGTTTCTTGCAGAAACCAGGAAGGGTAAAGTGGTTGTGAGACAGCCCATAATTCCCAAAGGAGCTGGCTACTTCGTGTCCAGTATACCCAGGAGCATAGGCCCAAGTGAAACCACAGACTCCAGAGCGTCCACACTGGAGGTATGTTGACACTGGAATAATTGTGAATGAGAAAAATGCTAATTTTAGATCATATGAAAGATGTATTGCATTTTGTGGAACACGTTTTTTTTGGGTTTTTTTGTAGAATAGTATTTGTTGGAGAAGCAATTCTTTACTAATATTTTTTTTGTAAGCAGTGTTGCAAAGAATGAAGATTTACAATTTTCATATGAAGTTCAATTTCAAGAATCTTAATTTACCCCAAGAGGGAATTTATGTCACAGTCAGTAGACATATAAAACCATACTTAAGACATTAAGACACTTAAATAACAGAACATAAATCATTATTCATTGAAACGCCTGATCGCTGCAGGGATAAGTACGTTTTTCAGTCTGTTCATTTGACATCTGGGCTGTAGATACCTGCGTTCAGATGGAAGCAACCTGAACTCACCATGGAGTGGGAGATCAGGATCTGCCAGAGTCAGCCCGAACATTTTTCACTGACCTCACCTTGTGTAGGTCAGTGAAGTATCATCGATGATAGAATGACTTTGAAACCTCACATCAGACATGTTCAATTAAAATATCCAAAATTATTTCTATAGTTATCAACAACAAAACAACACTATAGTCACTATCATACATAAATAAATAAAAAAGAGCATTAAGAGTAATTAACAACGCTCAGTACGTGGATCATACAAATTGACCAACAAATACAAAGTGATGGAATGGAACAGTGGGACTTCTTGGAGACTACCGAGTTACCAGTCTTCACAAACCAAAATTATTCCTCAGCAGTGGAGGGGCAGCATCCATGTTCGATTTGGGTGTGCCATTAGCATAACCTAACTGAAAAAGGTTCATTGTGGAATGACCCTCCACTATTTATACAGTCAACATTGCTAAAACTTATCGACATAATTAAATACCAACAATTCTAGCAATGCATAAAGCTAAAAATAACCAACTGCCAGAAAATATTCAAAAACTATTAAAGAGAAGGGAAGAAGTTTAGGAGTTAAGAGGTATATGTCAATATCAGGCGAAGATGATTTGAACAAGAAAACCAATGATGTGTTTCTGTCTGTGGAGTGACGTTTTGAACAGGCTGAACGTGAAGCTCAAGAAAAGTCCAGACATGAAGACGTTTAAAACATGATATAAAATGATGATTATAGATGGATATCAGATTTCATTAATCATTATTATTGTTACTATCACCCATTATCATTGTTTATGTGACTGTACATTGTATTATTGTCTTAAGATGACAGTCACAGGGGTTCTACATTTTGAAACGCACTTTATTAATTATCAATTACTTTTTATGATTAAGAAGTGATGGGAGTAAGGTCGCAGGAGAAGGGGTGGGCTAATATAAATGTAAACTTCTTCCCACTCCTTGGAGCGCAGGAATATTGTATATTAGTACATGTTTCTGTTATTATCTGTTGTTATGTTCAATAAATTTAAGAAAGAAAATTAAAAGAAGCATAGTCAAATTAAAACGGGATGGCTAAAGATTATTCTACACTGGCCACCCTCTTGCTGCACTCTGCCTTGTTGTGGATAAAAGTTTTCTCCACTCGCCAGAGGTCGAGAATCCGTCACTGCGCTGCTTCGGACAAGCAAACAATTAATAATTACAAAAATGAAAGAATCAATTTAAAAAAGCTATCTCATATGCCATGCAACTCATACCCACTTCAATATCTTGCACTAAAAACATTAAGCTTTAGTTGCATCCTCTGTTTAATTCAAGTCCAGAAAAACACTCATCTCGAAAACAAACATTCACTATTCAAGCGATGGGGTGCAAGAAAAGCTTGTCAGCTTTCTGCTTGTTTATAACATATTCCAGACATGTAGCTTTTCATAAACAGTGCCATAGCAACTTATTTTTACACATCACATTGTGCACTAAAAAGTCTTATTTTATTTTTACCAGTGGTTTTCTGGCTTAGGGTTTTTTACTGGCTTTGCTGGTATCAAACTGAGAATATATTTCAAGTGTATATAATGCTAAGAATAGTCATGGTCAATTCAATGGACTCAATTGCCCATCAGGCCCACGCCTAGTTTAGATGATGGCAATGCTGGAATATAAAGTGAGAAGTTAGTAAATTATGGGTTCATTGCAGTTTAAATCATTTTTTTACAATATTAACAATGTTGCATGTAACAAGTTTTTTTTTTCTAACACTGTGCAGCTCTATATTAAAATATCTTCGCTGAGTTATTTTAATGCATATTTAAGACATAATTTGATCCAGGTTGTTTGTCATTCCTGACACACTTTTGCTATTATACTATTTACACACACAAAACAATATTGATTATTTAAAACTGGAAATCCAGCTCAGAGAAAATCAAACTTTGATAAGATGTGTGTTTGTAGGCCAAACTTTCTACCCTTTTTTTCCCCATAATTAAGCTAAAAAAAATCTCCCACCATCCCCCCCACCGCCCAAATCCGCCTCTCTTTGAAGTCTTATGTAGTATGTAGGTCACGTATTGCAGATACATAACACACGATCATAGCATAACCAGTAGGCGTAAGAGGGGGAGCACTGCAAAGAAGCCCAGATTCAGAGGAGTTCTCTTCAAGGACAAGAAATTCGGCTGATCTAAATTAGATGCATTCTGCAGCAGCTCTCTGGTGCACAGTAAACTGCTGTCAGTATGGAAGTGCTATAAAAAAAAAATACTCCAGATGTTGTTTGTTTTTGATTTCACACAGGTGGTTCTACAAAGTAAACCATGAAGATTAAACAATATGAATATGCATGCAGCTGCACATGGAGGGCGGGGGGCAAACACAATGGGGTTTGATTTGTATAGACTGTGTTGTGTGAGTTTATCTTCCACTGAACTTGTTTCTTGTTTTTTTCTGTTCTGAAGTTTCCAAAATGAAAGGAAGTCCATTCTACAACTGGAGGTATGCTGGCTGCTAATTACATTTTTGTAGAGCCACTAATATTTTGTTGATATTTTCTATCCCTTTTTTTATATATTTGATACAAACGCTTGGTTAGCCTCGCAAATTGATTGAATGAACAGCTTTCAGTGCAAATCTTTGGTTATCATACTTTTCGAAATAAATGGATTGGAATCAAATACTACTGTCCTTCTGAAACACAACAATTTGCCTCAATCCAGCGCTGCTGAGAGCACTGAGATTGAAACGGGCTGCTCTCTCCGGTGAAGCAATCTCTGAGCTTATATTGAGCTGAGATTAGCATAAAATTGGCTGCTGCTCAGAGTTTTGTTGTGCACATCTGGCTGTAGGTGGATAGAGATTCAGGTTAAAAGGTTGTCATGGACAGTAAAAAAAATCAGGAATGAATCATCCCAAATAGGTTTCACATTATTGTACACTACAGCCCAACCGATATGAACATTTTGGCTATTGCCGATACTGATATTTGGCGGTACGGCTACTGCCGATAACCGATGTATTGGCTGAAAATTTCTGAGCTTTGTCCACCCACAAGAATCAAAGTAAACAGCTACTTTTAAACCTGTTTCAACACTTGAAGTCTTGAAACAGTCTTCCTAAAATGCATTCACATTTTCTATGTTCGACTATTCACCATAAAGTTATCAAGTTTGTCAGAAAAATATAAATTAAATAAAGAAACACTGTTCATTATTTAAACAGTCAGTCACATACGATGGTATTGTTTTTTGTTCTTTGCAGAAAAGTAAAGATTTCAGTCAAACATTTAATTGAGGACGACAAAGATAACTTTATTAACACTGATATATATTTGACTCTTCGTTAGATTTATTGTTCTGGCTAAAGGATTACAAAGCAATAGCCTATGCTAGGTTATCTAAACATTAGCTAGCTAACTTGAGAGGCACGTAGCTAAAGACAAGCGGGTTGGAGGATCGAAGATAATTTATTGTTGTTGATTTGTTTTACAGATCAGTTCAAATAAACTTACCGTGCTCTGTTCAGCAAAATACGCTATGCAGTATTGCTCCCTGCTTCAGCTGTAATTAACTCAAAAGTGAAAGTAAAACGAACGGACTTGACTTGAAAGTTGTCTTCATGCGCCCTCTGCTGGATACATTGTACAATTACAACAATTATAATGGCTTGGAAACGAACCGTTGGACACGGCTCGTTCCCAACATTTTAGCAGCAAAAATTAGAAGTGTTTATATCAGCGCATAACGTGCCAATTATCACCGATACAATATGTCCACAAACGTCTATATTGGCCTAAAATATCGGCACTACCGATATATCAGTCGGGCTCTAGTGAGCACACAAATCCTGCAAAAATGTATTCCATTGTTTCAGTTGTTTTGGTATCTGTGGGGAATATTAAATGTTAACGTTATTTTTTTGTGTGTAAAACAGAAATCTAGCTAAAAACAACACATTTATAACTTACTTTGCATTCTTTACTCACTACTTTTACACATAGCCTTTATTATATGTCTGTTATAATTTCAAATCCAACTGATTTCTAAATGATTTGATGAACAGTGGAGAATAGAAAATCAATTGAACATAAAAGCCAGAAATGGATTCCTATATTTTATTCTAAATGACCCTGAAGTTCAACAGCATGATGGTGGCAGTAACCAGTCACAGTCCAACGTTGCATGAGTGATGATTTTCTCTTGCTTTTTACTGAGGCTGGATTACTTTTGTGACTAATTCTGTTCTCTGTCCCACAGCAGGATCCCCGGAGAGAGCGGCGGTGATCTTATCTTTCATGGGAGTCTAAAGATGAACCGTTCCTGTGACTCACAAAGATCGTGTAAAAAAGCAGTTTTTTTCATTCTCACTGCTCCAGCTCCTGATTTTTCTCATTTCTACCTGTCCCACATGCAGACATTGGCCATTGGTCGACTCATCCACTGTTTGTTTTTTGTCCCTTTGTGCACGAATCTGCAGAATTCTCCAGCCCGTATTTGGACAACAAGTCATATAGCAGAATGTTTGGATGTCCTCATATTAAACCAGTCATTTTTTTTTAAAGTGTCTTAAACTTGCCTTGATCCCAGGGATTATATTGGCCTGGATTATCTGAAAATGTACAGCACTTGGTTTGAGCACCAAGTATTGCGCATCATTTGCCTCCTATTGCTAAAACAGCAATAGGTTTTCACACTTTTTGGACAATTTATCTGCAGAGCAATGTTCAACACTCAGCACTGAACAGAGAATGAAATATATATCTCCTGATATGTTTTGTTTCTTTAATGACAACAGTGCAACAAATGGCTCTTCTTCCTCTGTTTCATATCCTGAGACATACCAATGGTAATTTGTTCGTTCTGTGTATCAGAAACGTTTCTGTTTCTTGAAAATCAGGTGCTAATTGCGTCATCAACAGCTTATAAAAATATGGGAGGGGTTTCCCCTAAATGTATACATAACGCTGTTTTGTTGGCAGCACAGTTTTAGGCGCATATCTCTCTTTATGAGGGATTTGAGAATTAGACCGATGTGCAACATTTTTAAAGACACCGGCAAACATTGCACAGATTTTTATTTATTTATTGCCATTGTGTGTTATTATTTGTAAAAACATCAGTATTCCATGCTTTACCCAAAATGGCACATTTCCTTTTTCAATGCGGAAGCTCAAAACACAATCATAAATATACACACGAATCAGGGTGATTGTTCTCCGTCCATTGATTGATAATTGTAGCTAGTTATGGTATTCTGCAGATTCAAACCTGACTCTTGGTGATTTTTTATTTTTTTTTTTGGTTTTGTTTTATTTTTTTATATGGATTCCAGGAGAGCTTTCGCTTCATAAGACTCAAACTTTTAATTAATAACTTGCTGAAAAACAAAACAAAAAAAGTGATACAGTTTTAGTTCTTTTGCTATACAGTGTTTATCGTGCTTGACAAATTCTGAATGTCAAAAATTCATTAAAAAAGAATGAAAAGAAAACATGTAAATGTAAAAAAAAATTATAATAATAACTGAAAATACCTTTTCTTTATTGACTGTAAGTGCAGTAGTTCTACAGAAATTATAATGAGGTCAGAGGAGATAAAAGACAAATAGTTTACGTGCAATTCTTTCCTTTAGTTACTTGATACACGACTTGCACTGCAATATTGAATCTTTAATCAAATCTATATCTGTTATTTATTTTCATGTACAATCAGTTTTTTTCTCTTATTAGAGAAAGGGAATCTTTGACTATTATTAAACTATAGAGAAAAGTTAAAGGAACAAATTAACTTAATAAACTGTATTTTTTAACAAACTTATCTGCAAATTTAACTTTCACAGCATCTTTTTTGTCGATAAGTTCTTTTTTTTTTTAGCTTTTCCTAAAAGGTTTATCAAAGAGTTGAAGCCCCACTTAAATTAAAACAATAAGTTAAGGTGAAGTTGTGACATAAAATATGTCTAATAATAAATATGTTTAATGATAAAAGCGTTAAAATGAAAATGTATTCAACTTTGCTGCATACAACAGGTGCAGGCAAGGTGTTCTTTGATAAATATTCATGTTTTCAGGTGCATATTTTATGTAGTAACTTTTATTGCTGCTCTTGTGTGCTTCTTTAAGGACACTTTGTGTTGCGTATTTGTAGTGTAGTGCTTATGAAGTTGTTTCGGTTGTGTACATGAATAAAAAATGAAACAAGAATACTTCTCTTGACCTCAAAGGTGGTGCAGCTGCACTGCTACGGAAAGCCCAGGACTTTTAACTTCTCTGAAACAAGGAGCTTTTTAAGAACGCTCATTTAACGTGCAGAATGATCAAATGTAACGAGCCAGGGAGGGTGGATGACGAGAAGTACGTGGTATTCATTTTAGCGATTCTGTGCTGACTCTGCTGACGGTGCAGAAATCGCATCAAGCGCAGGAGCGCATGTTCAAATTTGGGATATGCACTGAATCTAAACGTGATCCTCCGCTCCCTCGCTAATGCAGCAGAGATGGGATAAGTGTGGATGTTTCCAGCTCGTTGCTTTGACTCAGTGAAATTTGATCTATCTTTTATGTTCTCACTGTCCCAGACCAACCTGTAAAAGATGTTTATTAGACCGAAGCATTCACAGGATGAGGGATCTCTTGCTGTTCATGTAATGGGTGAGTTAAGGGATATTTTGGCCATTTTTACAGAACAAGAGGGATTCTGTAAACTGCTGTAACCATTTAATAACTTACCAGTTCTACATAGCTCTTTGGGCCGCCTCTGTTTGGGGAGTTAATGTGTCAAATCTGGACGGGGCTGAGACAAAAATGCATTTCTTCTATCTTCTGTATTCTATCTAATTCCAATATTTGAAACAAAATTGTAATAAATCATGATAGCATAATCTCGTAAACGTGTACGCCACTGTCACTTTTGAACCGTAGAGTTATTTACAAAAAATAATCTGATTTCTTTAGCAAATAAAGACAACAGCAGCTAGCTGTGGCACTTCCAGCAAAGTCTGAGATCCATTTCAGTATGGCTGTCATGACATCCCCGCCAAAATAACTTTGCACAGTACAGTAGTCCCTCGCTACTTCACGGTCCGTTTTTCGCAGACTTGCTCTAACGCGGTTTTTCAAAATAAGATTGGACATGACACACAATTGGCTCATTGATGGATGAGCCGCACGATCGGCATGGGATTTTTATTTAAAGTAAATTATTTTAAAATATTTAGCACCTGTGTGCAGCTCACAACGCAGGAGAAGCTTCCTCCTGCAGCGTGTCATATCTCTGCACTGCAGTGGAGAAGTGGGCGTGGCCAAGAGCGTCGGCTGAGAGCTGATTTCACGACATGCTGAGCACTTAGTTTAGAATATATATATATATATATAT